GGGAGGTCCTCCTTCAGCAGTGTTGACAGGTGCCTCAGCCCGGGAGGTCCTTCTTCAGCAGTGTGTTGGTGGATGCCTCAGCAGGGAAGTGCTCCTTCAGCAGTGTTGAGGAGTGCCTCAGCAGGGAGGTTCTCCTTAAGCAGTGTTGAGAAGTGCCTCAGCAGGGAGGTCCTCCTTCAGCAGTGTGTTGATGGGTGCCTCAGCAGGGAGGTGCTCCTTCAGCAGTGTTGATGGGTGCCTCAGCGGGAAGGTGCTCCTTCAGCAGCGTTGAGGAGTGCCTCAGCAGGGAGGTCCTCCTTAAGCAGTGTTGAAAGGTGCCTCCCGCAGGAAGGTCCCTCCTTCAGCAGTGTGTTGATGGGTGCCTCAGCAGGGAGGTGCTCCTTCAGCAGTGTTGAGGAGTGCCTCAGCAGGGAGGTCCTCCTTCAGCAGTGTTGACAGGTGCCTCAGCAGGGAGGTCCTTCTTCAGCAGGGTTTTTGATGGTCCTCAGCAGGGAGGTGCTCCTTCGCAGTGGGTTAGGAGTGCCTCAGCAGGGAGGTCCTTCTTCAGCAGTGTTGATGGGTGCCTCAGCAGGGAGGTGCTCCTTCAGCAGTGTTGATGGGTGCGTCATCAGGGAGGTACTCCTTCAGCAGTGTTGATAGGTGGCTCAGCAGGGAGGTCCTTCTTCAGCAGTGTTGATGGGTGCGTCAGAAGGGAGTTCCTCCTTCAGCAGTGTTAATAGGTGGCTCAGCAGGGAGGTCCTTCTTCAGCAGTGTTGATGGGTGCCTCAGTAGGGAGGTCCTCCTTAAGCAGTGTTGATAGGTGCCTCAGCAGGGAGGTCCTTCTTCAGCAGCGTTGATGGATGCCTCAGCAGGGAGGTCCTCCTTCAGCAGTGTTGATGGGTGCCTCAGCAGGGCGGTCCTCCTTCAGCAGTGTTGATGGGTGCCTCAGCAGGGAGGTCCTCCTTCAGCAGTGTTGATGGGTGCCTCACCAGGGAGGTCTCCTTCAGCAGTGTTGATGGGTGGGCCCCAGCAGGGAGGTCCTTTTTTCAGCAGTGTTGATGGGGTGCCTCAGCAGGGAGGTCCTCCTTTAGCAGGTTGATGGGTACCTCACAGGGAGGTCCAACTTCAGCAGTGTTGATGGGTGCCTCACAGGAGGTCCTCCTTCAGCAGTGTTGATGGGTGCCTCACCAGGGAGGTCTCCTTCAGCAGTGTTGATGGGTGCCTCAGCAGGGAGGTCCTTTTTCAGCAGTGTTGATGGGTGCCTCAGCAGGGAGGTCCTCCTTCAGCAGTGTTGATGGGTGCCTCAGCAGGGAGGTCCTTTTCCAACAGTGTTGATGGGTGCCTCAGCAGGGAGGTCCTCCTTCAGCAGTGTTGATGGGTACCTCAGCAGGGAGGTCCTCCTTCAGCAGTGTTGATGGGTGCCTCAGCAGGGAGGTCCTTTTTCAGCAGTGTTGATGGGTGCCTCAGCAGTGAGGTCCTTTTTCAGCAGTGTTGATGGGTGCCTCAGCAGGGAGGTCCTTTTTCAGCAGTGTTGATGGGTGCCTTAGCAGGGAGGTCCTTTTTCAGCAGTGTTCATGGGTGCCTCAGCAGGGAGGTCCTTTTTCAGCAGTGTTGATGGGTGCCTCAGCAGGGAGGTCCTTCTTCAGCAGTGTTGATGGGTGCCTCAGCTTGGAGGTCCTTTTTCAGCAGTGTTGATGGGTGCCTCAGCAGGGAATTCCGTTTTCAGCAGTGTTGATGGGTGCCTCAGCAGGGAGGTCCTTCTTCAGCAGTGTTGATGGGTGCCCCAGCAGGAGGGCCTTTCAGAGTGTTGATGGGTGCCTCAGCAGGGAGGTCCTTTTCAGCAGTGTTGATGGGTGCCTCAGCAGGGAGGTCCTTCTTCAGCAGTGTTGATGGGTGCCTCAGCAGGGAGGTCCTTCTTCAGCAGTGTTGATGGGTGCCTCAGAAGGGAGGTCCTTCTTCAGCAGTGTTGTTGGGTGCCTCAGCAGGGAGGTCCTCCTTCAGCAGTGTTGATGGGTGCCTCAGCAGGGAGGTGCTCCTTCAGCAGTGTTGATGGGTGCCTCAGCGGGAAGGTGCTCCTTCAGCAGCGTTGAGGAGTGCCTCAGCAGGGAGGTCCCCTTAAGCAGTGTTGAGAGTTTCCTCAGCAGGAAGGTCCTCCTTTTAGCAGTGTGTTGATGGGTGCCTCAGCAGGGGGGTGCTCCTTCAGCAGTGTTGAGGAAGTGCCTCAGCAGGGAGTCCTCCTTCAGCAGTGTTGCAGGTGCCTCAGCAGGGAGGTCCTTTCTTTTAGCAGTGTTTGATGGATGCCTCAGCAGGGAGGTGCTCCTTCAGCAGTGTTGAGGAGTGCCTCAGCAGGGAGGTCCTTCTTCAGCAGTGTTTAGGGTTTCCCCAGCAGGGAGGTGCCCTTCAGCAGTGTTGATGGGTGCGTCCCTAAGGAGGTACTCCTTCAGCGTGTTGATAGGGGTGCTAGCAGGGAGGTCCTTCTTCGCAGTGTGATGGGTGCCTCAGCAGGGAGGTCCTTTTCAGCAGTGTTGAGGGTGCCTCAGCCCGGGAGGTCCTTCTTCAGCAGTGTTGTTGGGTGCCTCGCAGGGAGGTCCTCCTTCAGCAGTGTTGATGGGTGCCTCAGGGGAGGGCCTTCTTCAGCAGTGTTGATGGGTGCCCCAGCAGGAGGTCCTCCTTCAGCAGTGTGTTTGGGTGCCTAGCAGGAGGTCCTTCTTAGCAGTGTGATGGGGGGCCTCAGCAGGGAGGTCCTTCTTCACAGTGTGATGGGGGCCTCGCAGGGAGGTCCTTCTCAGCAGTGTTGAGGGTGCCTCAGGGAGGAGGTTCTTCTTCAGCAGTGTTGTTGGTGCCTCAGCAGGAGGTCCTTCTTCAGCAGTGTGTTGGGGCCTCAGCAGGAGGTCCTTCTTCAGCAGTGTGGGTGGTGCCTCAGCAGGGAGGTCCTTCTTCAGCAGTGTTGTGGGTGCCTCGCAGGGAGGTCCTTCTTCGCGTGTTGAGGTGCTCAGCAGGGGGTCCTTCTTCGCGGGGTTGATGGGTGCCCCGGCAGGGAGTCCTTCTTCAGCAGTGTTGATGGTGCCCCAGCAGGAGGTCTTCTCAGCAGTGTTGAGGGTGCCCGGCCGGGGGCCTTCTTCGCAGTGTTGTTGGGTGCCCCAGCAGGGGGGTCCTTCTTTAGCAGTTTGATGGTGCCTCAGCAGGGAGGTCCTTCTTAGCAGTGTTGTGGGTCCTCAGCAGGGAGGTCCTTTTCGCATGTTTTATGGGTCCCCAGCAGGGGGGTTTCCCTTTTTCAGCAGTGTTGTGGGTGCCTCAGCAGGGGGGTCCTTCTTTAGCGTGTTGATTTGGGTGCCTCACAGGGAGGTCCTTCTTCAGCAGTGTTGATGGGTGCCCCAGCAGGGGGGTCCCTTTTTCACAGTGTTTTTTGGGGGGCCCCAGCAGGGGGGTCCTTCTTCGCAGTGTTGATGGGGGCCCCAGCAGGGGGTCCTCTTCAGCAGTGTTGATGGGGGGCCTAGCAGGGAGGGGCCTTTTTTTTAGCGTGTTGATGGGGGCCTCAGCAGGGAGGTCCTCCTTCAGCAGGGGTTTGGGTGCCCCACGGGGGGGCCTTCTTCAGCGTGTTGAGGGGGGCCCCAGCAGGGAGGTCCTTCTTCAGCATGTTGATGGGTGGGCCCCACAGGGAGGGCCTTCTTCAGCAGTGTTTGTTGGGTTTTTTCCCCAGCAGGGAGGTCCCCTTCAGCAGTGTTGAGGGTGCCTAGCAGGGGAGGTCCTTCTTCAGCAGGGGTTGTTGGGGCCTCAGCAGGGGGAAAAGGGTTTTTCAGCAGGTTGTGGGGGCCTCGCAGGGGGGTCCTTCTTCAGCAGTGTTTTATGGGCCCCACAGGGGGCCCCAGCAGTTTTGAGGGGCCCCGCGGGGGGTCCTTCTTCAGCAGTGTTTTGGGTGCCTCAGAGGGGGGGTCCTTCTTCAGCGTGTTGTGGGTGCCCAGCAGGGAGTCCCTTTTTCACATGTTGATGGGTGCCTCAGCAGGGAGGTCCTTCTTCAGCGTGTTTTATGGGGGCTCAGCAGGAGGGTCCTTCTTCAGCAGTGTTGAGGGTGCCTAGCAGGGGGGGTCCTTCTTTCCGTGTTGATGGGTGCCTCAGCGGGGGGTCCTTCTTACATGTTTTATGGGGGGCCTCAGCAGGAGGTCCTTTTCAGCAGTGTTGATGGGTGCCTCAGCAGGGAGGTCCTTCTTCAGCAGTGTTGATGGGTGCCTCAGCAGGGAGGTCCTTCTTCAGCAGTGTTGATGGGTGCCTCAGCAGGGAGGTCCTTCTTCAGCAGTGTTGATGGGTGCCTCAGCAGGGAGGTCCTTCTTCAGCAAGATATATTAGACTGGAAGATCACTTAGCTAAATTACTTGTCAGTAATGATGTTGATAATTACTTTATATGTGAATGATGATGACGAGATTATCTTGAAGATAATCACGATAAAAGCTATCTTTTAGGCATTTGTTTCTGTGGCCCGGTGGCCTGGTGGCCTGGTGGCCCGGTGGCCTGGTGGCCTGGTGGCCTGGTGGTAGTGGCCCGGCGGCCTGGTGGCCCGGTGGCCTGGTGGCCTGGTGGCCTGGTGGCCTGGTGGTAGTGGCTCGGCGGCCTGGTGGCTAAAGCTCCCGCTTCACACACGGAGGGCCCGGGTTCGATTCCCGGCGGGTGGAAACATTCGACACGTTTCCTTACACCTGTTGTCCTGTTCACCTAGCAGCAAATAGGTACCTGGGTGTTAGTCGACTGGTGTGGGTCGCATCCTGGGGGACAAGATTAAGGACCCCAATGGAAATAAGTTAGACAGTCCTCGATGACGCACTGACTTTCTTGGGTTATCCTGGGTGGCTAACCCTCCGGGGTTAAAAATCCGAACGAAATCTTATCTTATCTGCCTCTTGCATTTTTTTTATTTTACCTCTTCTGCCTCTTCTTATTCTTCCTAGTGTTTTTCTGCCTCTTTCTACTCTTCACCGTCTCTGCTTGTTCCTGCTCCATGTGACGTTAAGTTACTACTCCTGCAGACACGAGCAACAACGTCTTCAGGTTCGAGAGTACTGGGTCAGGTCCAGCCAGGTACACCATCCTTAACTACCAACGTGTCGACCAGTATGCCTTTGACTGGATCCCCATCGGTACCTACACCAGTAAGTAACTCCTCTCTCTCTCTCTCTCTCTCTCTCTCTCTCTCTCTCTCTCTCTCTCTCTCTCTCTCTCTCTCTTTCTCTCTCTCTCATTTGTTTTATCATATTTTATTGTAGTTCCTGGGTTATTGATTTATGAGATGTAGGAAAAAAATCATGTAATTTCTACCTTTTGTGATCTTTAAAAAAAAAAGAACAAATATATACATATATATATATATATATATATATATATATATATATATATATTCTAGGTAGTAGGTTGGTAGACAGCAACCGCCCAGGGAGGTACTACCGTCCTGCCAAGTGAGTGTAAAACTGAAGCCTGTAATTGTTTTACATGATGGTAAGATTGCTGGTGTCTTTTTTTATCTGTCTCATAAACATGCAAGATTTCAGGTACGTCTTGCTACTTCTACTTACACTTAGGTCACACTACACATACATGTACAAACATATATATACACACCCCTTTGGGTTTTCTTCTATTTTCTTTCTAGTTCTTGTTCTTGTTTATTTCCTCTTATCTCCATGGGGAAGTGGAACAAGAATTCTTCCTCCGTAAGCCATGCGTGTTGTAAGAGGCGACTAAAATGCCGGGAGCAAGGGGCTAGTAACCTCTTCTCCTGTATATATTACTAAATGTAAAAGGAGAAACTTTCGTTTTTCCTTTTGGGCCACCCCGCCTCGGTGGGATACAGCCGGTGTGTTGAAAGAAAGATATATATATATCATATATATATATATATATATATATATATATATATATATATATATATATATATATATATATATATATATATATATATATGTCGTGCCGAATAGGCAGAACTTGCCATCTTGGCTTAAATAGCAACGCTCATCTTGCCATATAGGACAAGTGAAAATTTGTGTATGCAATAATTTCGCCAAAAACATTCTGAACCTAACGAAAAAAATATATTTCACTGTGTTTGTTTAGTATTAAATTATTGTAAACAAATCTAAAATATATTTAGCTGGGTTAGGCTAAAATAAATTGTTCTTGTTGTAATAAGGTTAGGTAAGTTTTCTAAGATTCTTTTGGAGCAAAATTAAAAATGTTTACATTAACATTAACGAAAAAAATATATCTTTAAACGTATAAGAGAAAATTTTAGAAAGGACTTAATTTTAAATGACTTCTTGCTAATTGACCAGTTTTACATATTTGGCACGACATATATATTATATATTATATATATATATATATATATATTATATATATATATATATATATATATATATATATATATATATATATATATATATATAATATTATATATATATATATATATATTATATATTTATATATATATATATATATATATATATTTTATATATATATTATATATATATATATATATATATATATATATATATATCTCCTGGCATGCACCATTTTTCTCCCTGCCTGGCAGACACATCTGAGGAAGCACCGGAGCTACATTTTCAGGAGAAAGCCAAGTATCGTTCCTCAGCTGACTTCCCCAAGTCCTCGTGTGGAGACCCGTGTACCTCTACTCAAGCTAAGATCCCTGTGAGTACCTGTGTGTGTATGTATGTATGTACGTATGTAGGAGTGTGTGTGTGTGTGTGTGTATGTGTGTGTACTCACCTAGTTGTACTCACCTAGTTGAGGTTGCAGAGGTCGAGTCCAAGCTCTTGGCCCCGCCTCTTCATTGGTCGCTACTAGGTCACTCTCCCTGAACCGTGAGCTTTATCATACCTCTGCTTAAAGCTATGTATGGATCCTGCCTCCACTACATCGCATCCCAAACTATTCCACTTCCTGACTACTCTGTGGCTGAAGAAATACTTCCTAACATCCCTGTGATTCATCTGTGTCTTCAACTTCCAACTGTGTCCCCTTGTTGCTGTGTCCAATCTCTGGAACATCCTGTCTTTGTCCACCTTGTCAATTCCTCTCAGTATTTTGTATGTCGTTATCATGTCTTCCCTATCTCTCCTGTCCTCCAGTGTCGTCAGGTTGATTTCTCTTAACCTCTCCTCGTAGGACATACCTCTTAGCTCTGGGACTAGTCTTGTTGCAAACCTTTGCACTTTCTCTAGTTTCTTTACATGCTTGGCTAGGTGTGGGTTCCAAACTGGTGCCGCATACTCCAATACGGTGTACAGGGTCCTGAACGATTCCTTATTAAGATATCGGAAAGCTGTTTTGAGGTTTGCTAGGCGCCCATATGCTGCAGCCGTTATTTGGTTGATGTGCGCTTCAGGAGATGTACCTGGTGTCATACTCACCCGAAGATCTTTTTCCTTGAGCGAGGTTTGTAGTCTCTGGCCCCCTAGACTGTATTCCGTCTGCGGTCTTCTTTGCCCTTCCCCAATCTTCTTGACTCTGCACTTGGTGGGGTTGAACTCCAGGAGCCAATTGCTGGACCAGGTCTGCAGCCTGTCCAGATCCCTTTGTAGTTTTGCCTGGTCTTCGATCGAATAAATTCTTCTCATCAATTTCACGTCATCTGCAAACAGGGACACTTCGGAGTCTATTCCTTCCGTCATGTCGTTCACAAATACCAGAAACAGCACTGGTCCTAGGACTGACCCCTGTGGGACCATGCTGGTCACAGGTGCCCACTCTGACACCTCGCCACGTGTGTGTGTGTGTACTCACCTATTTACTCACCTATTTGTGGTTGCAGGGATCGAGTCTTAACTCCTGGCCCCGCCTCTTCACTGATTGCTACTGGGTCCTCTCTCTCCCTGCTCCATGAGCTTTATCAAACCTCGTCTTAAAACTATGTATGGTTCCCGCCTCCACTACGTCACTTTGTAGGCTATTCCACTGCCTGACAACTCTATGACTGAAGAAATACTTCCTAACATTTCTTTGACTCATCTGAGTCTTCAGCTTCCATTTGTGACCTCTTGTTTCTGTGTCCCCTCCATGGAACATCCTGTCTTTGTCCACCTTGTCTATTCCGCGCAGTATTTTATATGTCGTTATCATGTCTCCCCTGACCCTCCTGTCCTCCAGTGTGGTCAGGCCGATTTTCCATAACCTTTCTTCATAGGACATTCCCCTTAGCTCTGGAACTAACCTTGTCGCAAACCTTTGCACTTTCTCTAATTTCTTGACGTGCTTGATCAAGTGCGGGTTCGAAACTGGTGCTGCATACTCCAGTATGGGCCTGACATACACGGTGTACAGTGTCCTGAACGATTCCTTACTAAGGTATCGGAACGCTATTCTCAGGTTTGCCAGGCACCCATATGCTGCAGCAGTTATCTAGTTGATGTGTGCTTCCGGAAACATGCTCGGTGTTATACTCACCCCAAAATCTTTCTCCTTGAGCGAGGTTTGCAGTCTTTGGCCACCTAGCCTGTACTCCGTCTGCGGTCTTCTGTGCCCTTCCTGTGTGTGTGTGTATGTTTTGAATATTTATGTCAAATGTAGTTACTCATTTGTAGCTTGTCAAGGAGAGAGAAGCAGTCACTCGGACACACAAAATGTTCGTATTTACAAGGGAGAAGGGAGGGGGGGGGGAACTGTCCTCATCTCATCTGGTGATGATGGTGTCCTGGTGTTACAGTTACAAGACACGTGTTGCTGGCGCTGTGAGGACTGCCAGGCTCACCAGTACCTCAACAAGTCCACCTCCCACTGCATGGACTGCCAGGACTGCCAGGCTCCTGACAGGGAGGTCGGCACCTGTGTCGATAAGGACGAGAAGTTCATCGACTACAAGAACACCTGGGCCATCACCGCTCTCGCCTTCGCTAGTTTAGGTCAGGTTACCTCCCTTCCTCTCTGTCTTTCCTGTCATCTCTCCTTGTGCTTGTCTCTCCCTCAGTGTTCTCTTCTCCTGTGTGTTCTCTCCCTCAGTCTCTCCCTGTGTGTGTCTCTCTGTCTCTTATTTGAATGCTACATATAGGGATATACTTTTTTTCAAAACAAGATTATTATTCTCAGTCTTTACCAATACACGTCTCTCCCCTGTGTCTGTATGCCTCACTCTCTCTCTCTCTCTCTCTCTCTCTCACTCTCTCTCCATCTATCTATCTATCTCTCTGTCTTTGGCTTCATTTCTATCTTTTTCGACGTCTCTCCTTGCCGCTTCTTGTAGTTATCTCTGCATCTGTCAATGTTTCCATCTCTTCCCATATCTCTATGCCTTTATCTTCCCTCAAGGGAGATATGCCTTGATGCCATTGGAAGCTCTTGATCCAAGAGACTAGACTTACTCTCCCCTTCTTTAGTTCGAATGTCATCCATTCAGCAGGCGCAATATAATCCCTACGTATATAGCCACGCCCACGATGGTGGGAGTGATCTCCAACACTCACTCACCTTCCTCCTCCCACAGTATCTTCAGCACAGTGTTGGTAGAAGTGATCTCCAACACTCATTCACCTTCCTCCTCCCACAGGTATCTTCAGCACAGTGTTGGTGGGAGTGATCTTCTGGGTTCATCTGAACACGCCGGTGATCAAGGCGGCCTCGCGGGAGCTCTCCTACATCCTTCTTGCTGGAATCTTTCTCTCCTTCTTTATGAGCTTCGTTATCGTGGCTCCTCCCTCCCTCCTCACCTGCGGCCTCACTCGCTTCTTCCTTGGCTTCTCCTACACCGTCTGCTACGCAGCCATCCTGACAAAGACCAACCGCATCTCCAGGATCTTCAACAAGAGCCCTAGCAAGTCTCACAAGGTTGGCAGCCAGTCTCTACTCTCCCTAGTTTTCCAGTTTTACGCTTCTGACAGTTTAGGTACACTTTCCAGCCCAGACACATCCCTAAAGTTTAAGTGTACCTTCCTAGGCTAGGCACACCTATCAACTGTTGCTGTTTACTAGGGAGAGCAGAGGCTCTCTTCACCCAGGTTTGGGGATAAAATCAAGGATCAGAATTTCCCTAGACAATTCTGTCCATTCCCGGTAGTGGATAACTTTCCCCGGGATAATAATGTTTTCCCCAGGCATGGGGATACCTCTGTGTTTGGGTCTGTGCCCATCATCAGCACACCTGTCCTCTTCCCTCTGCCTCAACTTTCTCATATATATAACCAACCTTGCAGTGCCCCAAAGGGGGTTAATCTCTCCCCCAGAGTATAACTAACCCGTGAAGAATTAAACACAAGTACAACATCTGGGTATCTTTATTTGTAGATGTTTCGCCCTCCAGTGACTTTATCATTACAATACATGGACAAAATGAATCTTGGGAAGAAGGAAAGATTGTGGAGGCATTAAGCGTTAGGAATTATAAAGTGCAAATTAAGGGGCTTGGTAATATGATGTGGAAAACACATACAGATCAGGTCATGCCAAGGTTTAGGAGTGATGGAGAGCAAACACTGATCCCAACAGTACCAGAAGCTGTAAGGAGTGAGTTGGTAATTCCTGGTCAGTATAGAGACAGGGTACCTTTTATGGTCAGACGAACTGCCTACAATAGGTAATAATAATAATAATAATAATAATAATAATAATAATAATAATAATAATAATAATAATAATAATAAAATAAATAATAATAATAATAATAATAATAATAATAATAATAATAATAATAATAATAATTAATAATAAAATAATAATAATAATAATAATAATAATAATAATAATAATAATAATAATAATAATAATAATAAAATAATAATAATAAAAATAATAATAAATAATAATAATAATAATAAAATAATAATAATAATAATAATAATAATAAAATAATAATAATAATAATAATAAATAATAATAATAAAATAATAATAATAATAATAATAATAATAATAATAATAATAATAATAATAATAATAATAATAATAATAATAATAATAATAATAATATAATAATAATAATAAATAATAATAATAAAAAATAATAAAAATAATAATAATAATAAAATAATAATAATAATAAAATAATATATAATAATAATAATAATAATAATAATAATAATAATAATAATAATAATAATAATATAATAATAATAATAAAAATAAATAATAAATAATAATAAAAAATAATAAATATATAATAATAATAATATAATAATAAAATAATAATAATAATAATAATAATAATAATAATAATAATAATAATAATAATAAAATAATAATAATAATAATAATAATAATAATAAATATAATAATAATAATAATAATAATAATAATAATAATAATAATAATAATAATAATAATAATAATAATAATAATAATAATATTTTATTTCTACAAGTACATGTACAAGGTATACAGTCCTAGCTGACATCAATGATATATTACTATATACAAAGCCGCTTGTTATGCAGAGCATTTCCGGCAAATTAGGTCAGTTTTGTCCCAAGATGCGACCTACGCCAATCGACTAACACCCAAGTGTCCGTTTTATACTGATGGGTGAACATAGACAACCGGTGTAAGAAAACACGTCCAATGTTTCTACCCTTGCCGATAACTGAACACGGACACTCACTGTGTGAAGCGAGAGCTTTTGCCACCAGGCCACGGGCCACCGTTAATAAACTTAAGGATCAGGTCAGTATGGAGGAAACCCCTCCTGAGAGGTTTGATAACGATAACAGCAGTGTGAGAGGAGAGTGTGCACCTGAGGACAAACAACAAGAAGCCTCCATATCTCAGGCGTTCCAAAAGTGAGGTCAAACTTCCAGAGAGGTTGGATTTATAAGTTAGTTTTGATGATGAGTTAATTTTTGCATCGGAATGATACAAGTTGTTTTGATGATGTAATGTAATTTAGAAAGGGAGGAATGTAAGGTGTTGGGAGCAGTGAGAGAATTAAATCCTACGTTTGCTATTTTGTTTTATGTTCGATCGTCTGCTGTAGTGTTTGATCATAGTTTTGTATTGCTGTGATCCGGGGACTTGAGAAGAGTACAGTGTTATCGTTATTCTTGTCTTTTATTATCCCCTACAACCATAACACCAGATGTTGCACACTTATCTAATTCTTCATCTCACTGATACCGCAGGCCAGGTACACGTCTCCAGTATCACAGGTGGTGATAGTGTCGCTCCTGGTGAGCGTGGAGGTGGTGATCAACGTGGCGTGGCTGGTGTATAACACCCCCAGCACCAAGCACCTCTGTCAGAGGCTGGTGCCTCACCGCGTCAGGATCTGTGGTGGCTTAGATGACTACTCTTACATCGTGGGTCTGGTGTATCCGCTGTTCCTAGTGCTCCTCTGCACTGTGTACGCCATCAAGACCAGGAAGGTCAGCACACAGATCAACTCCCGTGTGGGTCTTTCAGAATAAGGAATGGTGGGGGCTTGATCCTCCGTCTGTTAAGATACTGACACGCTGTTTTATGCTGCTAAAATTTCCCTCCAGTAAAGTCACAGTACTGTTGCATCAATAAAGTCACGGTACCGTGGCATCAATAATGTCACAGTATCGTGGCATCAATAATGTCACAGTAACGTTGCATCAATAACGTCACAGTAACGTGGCATCAATAACGTCACAGTAACGTGGCATCAATAACGTCACAGTAACGTGGCATCAATAACGTCACAGTAACGTGGCATCAATAACGTCACAGTACAGTGGCTGCAAATGATACAAGCACAGACACGGAGACGAGCGGAGAGACGATCAAACCCCCTCTTATTTCCTTGCCTGTATTACTCACACGGGTTTACCCCTTCACGTTATTTATAAATCAATATATGAAAATTTCCTGTCAATTTCTTGATCAATACTAAAGTGTTGACAGGTGCCTTGTGTTGACAGTGTCCAGGCGGGTTCAACGAGGCCCGCTACATCGCCTTCACTAACTACACCACCTGTCTCATCTGGCTGGTGTTTGTACCTCTTTACCTGTCCACCGGTGCTTCTGATGCTGTCAGGATCGTCACCCTGGCCTTGTCTCTCTCTCTGGGGTGAGTAATAGCGCTTCACTTCACACCAGTCACGTTAATTCCAGATTCCACTGTCAGTCATGTCGAGTTTAGTTATTCAGGCCACCCTAAATGCCAGTAATAATAATAATAATCTTTATTTCTACAAGTACATATACAAGGTATACAGGTCTAGCTGACATCAGTGACATACTACTACACAGAAAGCCCCTTGTTATGCAGAGCATTTCGGGCAAATTAGGTCATTTTTCTCCCAGAATGCGACCCACACTAGTTGACTAGCTCCCCGGTGCCCATTTTACTAATGGGTAACATAGACAACCAGTGTAATGAAACACACCCAATGTTTCTACCCTCGCCGGGAATCGAACCCGGACTTTCGCCGTGTGAAACCAGAGCTTTAGCCACCAGTCTTGCCATTCAGGCCACCCTAGACAGCTTGAGGCTTGTATGTCATACTATAAAATAGCTGGGTCGCTCATGGCTTCTCTTAATGTTCCAACATTTATTAATGAATCAGTTTCATAATTTAGTGAGTCGTCACTGAGGTCAGAATTTACACATGGCGAGGCCCTGAGCTATGACCAGTGTTCATAAAGAATAAGACTGTAACAAGTGACCTTGACAAGAATAAGACTGTAACAAGTGACCTTGACAAGAATAAGACTGTAACAAGTGACCTTGACAAGAATAAGACTGTAACAAGTGACCTTGACAAGAATAAGACTGTAACAAGTGACCTTGACAAGAATAAGACTGTAACAAGTGACCTTGACAAGAATAAGACTGTAACAAGTGACCTTGACAAGAAGGTCAACAAGATACATCCTAACAAGGTCGTGCGAGTGTATGAAGGTCACTCCATCACAACTTTAAAAAGAGTGCTATTAATTATTCAATTTAAAAGCTATTCTTAAATAAAAAAAACAGTGCATATTCGTGGCCGTGAGTGGATGTATTTAGCGCCAGGAAGAGAATAATGTTGTAAACTTGTAGTTGTCAGGATATGAAATGTAATTTGTCGTCTGTGATTTAATTAAGAATGAAAAACATAAGAAATCGGTCGGTTTACACTTTCTTTGTATTTTTTTTTTAAGGAAAACTTATGACTGATGTCGTTGGAAGTTCGGATAAACTTACTTGTTAAATGGAATAATAAATTTTGTATGAAAAATATAATTGTTGATAATGTAAGAATGGTTTCAGAAGAGGATTTAGATAGAAGCAAATGAAAAATAAATTCTGAAGTTTTAAGAGGCCCCTTCAACCCCGCGATGCCCTTCAACTTGAGGCCCCGGACCCCTTTTGCTTTGTAACTTTTATACCGCCCGTTGTTTCATTCCATATTCCAATAATTGATACACTTTTTTTTGTAGTTTTCCCTTTCGGTATTAAGCCCCAAATTTCCTTATAACATTTTTTTATTTTAATTATTTTTCCAAAAGGGCCAGGGGTACCCGGTGGTCTTTTTTTTTGTTTTTCATTATTCCCAAGGGGGGAACTTTTTTACTTATTGTTGCAGTATCCCAAGAACTTTATATACATATTTAGTTATTAAATTTAAAATTTTGGGAAGGAAAAGGAATAAATTGTGAAACACTTTTGGATATTATTTGATGGGTAGTCTCCGGGAGATTTCTCCTACACCTCATTCCCGTGTCTCCCACACCTCCTCCAAGCACAAATGTTCTCTCCTGGACAGAGGGTTCGTCCAGCTGGGGTGCCTGTTCTTCCCCAAGGTTTACATCGTGTTGTTCAAGCCTGAGAAGAACACCAGGGATGCTGTGATGAGTATCGTCAGGACCTCGCACAACAGCAACAACCGTGACTCCACCTACAGAGTGTCTGGTCGCTTCCCTGACGAGATAGTGGCTCCAGTACCTCACTCAACACCACCCATCTTCTTCCTCAACGGTAAGTCGAGCCTCGCTGGCTAAGTGCTCCAGCTGTGAGAGATGCTTATGTAAGTACTTTCCTTCATCCCAAGTCTCTCTAGTCATGTCTAAACAAGGTTTCCGTGTGGAGTTACATTTAAATCATGTCATGCTTGAAGTCGAGTTTGAATTGAGTGCTTCCCGTGGTGGCGGTAGTTCTGGGAGAGTTTTTAAGGTCAGAGTCTCCAGGATTGTGTATACAAGTGCTGTGAAACCACACCCCGGCCGGGATTGAACCCGCGGTCAGAGAGTCTCAAAACTCCAGCCCGTCGTGTTAGCCGCTAGACCAGCTAGCCACAATAAGATTCATCCAACTAGGTATATTTCTACACCATAGGAAGGTTAGCACAGGCACCACTGTGACCACAAATGCAAGTTTTTACAGACGAATCTCCAGCTAGCGTGGCCGTGACGAACTCTAGCTCAAGTCCCTTCACTGCCGTCAACATGACTCACGAAATCGTAATGAGGCCTGGTCACAGGCCTGGTCACAGACCGGAGGAGGCCTGGTCACAGACCGGGCCGCGGGGGCGTTGACCCCCGAAACTCTCTCCAGGTAAACTCCAGGTAATACCCCGGCCGGGGTATGTTGACGGCAGTGAAGGGACTTGAGCTAGAGTTCGTCACGGCCACGCTAGCTGGATATTCGTCTGTAAAAACTTGCATTTGTGGTCACAGTGGTGTCTGTGCTAACCTTCCTATGGTGTAGAAATATACCTAGTTGGACGAATCTTGTGGCTAGCTGGTCTAGTGGCTAACGCGACGGGCTGGAGTTTTGAGACTCTCTGACCGCGGGTTCAATCCCGGCCTGGGTATGGTTTGTTTGCAATCGTGTCATTACGATTTCGTGAGTCACAAGTGCTGTGTATAAGCAGTGATGAGTCTACTGCTTATACCAGTACTGTGTCCACTTACTAATGCCCTACAGTGAGAACTCCCTTTAAGACAGATAGCTCCAAAATAAGGGACTCTTATCCAACGAATTAAACTAATCCCCTCCACGGATTTGAACTAAATGCCTCCCATTTTTCAAGCATGTATACCCCCTTAGTATAGCATTTCCCACCTAATAATAATAATAATAATAATCCCCAGGAGGGAAGAAAAAAGATGACGCACAACACACTTCAAAACAAACAAGCAAGCCAGGAACCAGGTCAGAACACCATTTGGCGTCCACCACCTCTATTTGGCGTCCCATCCATCCTCTCCCTATCCAGCCAGCTCCCTACACTGTCCCCCATTCACTCGGTAAACAAGTTTCCACTAATAGCAGGGAACATCCCGTGGGTTACCTTAATTTGCTGTCATCAGTTGAGAACCTAGTAATTTGGTTTGCACAGTAGCAACAACCCAGGCGTGATTGGGTTCACAGACTATTCTACGCCCGGTTGTTTGTTCACTATTTCTACACAGCGATGTCTCTGTGATGAAACATACCAAGGTTCGATTTGTGCCAGAAATTAAACCAGGTTAATTCTAGATTGATGGAATAATAATGTTATAATATTAGAGTGCTTTAATTAGTAGATTATTTTATTATCAGATAATTACCATGTGATATTAGATATTATAGAAACCAATTAGCTTACTTCATTATATACTCCTCAGATTTTAATAGCTATTTGAAATATACATACTAATTTATATACGACATTTTTATGGAAAGTTCGATTACCAAGGCAATCATGAATATCTTTTATACAAAAACGAGGGTTAACCAAGGATATAGCCCCCGGGATTAGGGGTCACCTGGTGTGGCCACAACATAGTTTACCCTTCAACTACGAGCCAGACTCCGTCCTCCTTCATGCTTCGTTTTCTTTGAAGCCTGACTCCTCTAGCCTCTTCCTTCTACCAAAATGATAATAATAATATAATAATCTTTATTTCTATAATTACATGTACAAGGTATACAGTCCTAGCTGACATCAGTGACATACTACTATATAGAAAGTCGGTTGGTATGCAGAGCATTTCGGGCACATTAGGTCAGTTTTGTCTCAGGATGCGACCCACACTGTAGAGGCAGGGAGAACACCTGCAAGGGCAGGTAGAACACCTGTAAAGACAGGTATAATACTTGTAGTGGCAGGTAAAAACACCTGTAGAGACAGGTAGAACACGTGCAAAGGCAGGTAGAACACCTGTAGAGGCAGGTAGAACACCTGTAGAGGCAGGTAGAACACCTGTAGAGGCAGGTATAGAACACCTGTAGAGGCAGGTAGAACACCTGTAGAGGCAGGTAGAACACCTGAGAAGGTATTATAACTGTCCGAGGAGGTAGAAAACCTTAAGGCAGGTAGAACGTATTGTCTTCGATGTCAACTACCTGTGACGGTAGAATCCTGTATGATCATCTATGTAATTTCCATGAACTCAAAAATTTATCCCATGCACATACTGGTCACAATGTTTCTTCTGACGTTACACAGTTATCCTCTGACGTCACATATCTTATGACGTCACACATGTTATCTTCTGACGTCACACATGTTATCCTCTGATGTCACATATCTTATGACGTCACACATGTTATCTTCTGACGTCACACATTGTTATCCTCTGACGTCACACATGTTATCCTCTGACGTCACACATTATCCTCTGACGTCACACATTATCCTCTGACGTCACACATTATGTTATCCTCTGACGTCACACATTATGTTATCCTCTGACGTCACACATTGTTATCCTCTGACGTCACACATTATGTTATCCTCTGACGTCACACATTGTTATCCTCTGACGTCACACATTATGTTATCCTCTGACGTCACACATTGTATCATCCTCTGACTCAACATATTTATCCTCTGACGTCACACATTATTATCCTCTGACGTCACACATTATGTTATCCTGCTGTCTGCTGGTCACACTGATGCAGTGTTACCAGACATTATGTTATCCTGCTGTCTGCTGGTCACACTGATGCAGTGTTACCAGACATTATTGTGCCATATTAACAATTCTATAGAAGACCGGAGGATCAAGCCTCCACTACTTATTGCGATGAATGAGCCGCGCGGGTTTAGAGCTTCAAGTAAATCTACTACTACTACTACTACTACTACTAATACTAATAATAATTATTATTATAATGTAATATCAGTTATGATATACGTTCATGATTTTGTTGATGGGGAAGCGCTAAGCCCGTAGGGGGGAGCGGCGGAGTTACACGGGTAATATGTGTAGAGATGGTGCAAATGTTGCCCTGTGGGCGCTGACAACCCCATGGGTGCTGACAGCCCCATGGGTACTGACAGCTCCATGGGTACTGACAGCTCCATGGGTACTGACAGCCCCATGGGTGCTAGCAGCCCCGTGAGTGGTGAGAGACCCATGGGTGCTGACAACCTCGACGCTACTGACAGCTTCGAGGCTACTGACAACCTCGTGGGTGCTGACAGCCTTGACAGGTGGACAGGGACTGTGATAATTCTCTGAGGGGAAGCGTTTGTGTCTGCTGCATAGATCACATAACTAACTCTCTCTCTCTCCTCTCCCTCTCTCTCTCTCTCTCTCTCTCTCTCTCTCTCTCTCTCTCTCTCTCTCTCTCTCTCTCTCTCTCTCTCTCTCTCTCTCTCTCTGTTTTAAATATATATACTATATATATTATATATATATATAAATATATATATATATATATATATATATATATATATATATATATAATATATATATATATAATATATATATATATATATATATATATATATATATATATATATATATATATATATATTATATATATATATATAGTTTAGTTATATTTGTAATTTACCAGTTTAAAGTAGTTTTTTGACATGTGGTCAACAGGTGTGGGATGTGGAGGATGTACAGATGTGGGAAAGTGTAGTGGGGGATGTGCAGTGTGGGGGTGCAGGTGTGGGGGTGTCAGTGTGGGGTGCAGGTGTGGGGGTGCAGTGTGGGTGCAGGTGTGGGAAATGTGTAGGTGTGGGGGATGTGCAGGTGTGGGGGGTGCAGGTGTGGGGGTGTGCAGGTGTGGGGGTGCAGGTGTGGGGGTGCAGGTGTGGGGGGATGTGCAGGTGTGGGAAATGTGTCAGGTGTGGGGGATGTGCAGGTGTGGGGGTGTGCAGGTGTGGGGGTGTGCAGGTGTGGGAAATGTGAGGTGTGGGGGATGTGCAGGTGTGGTAGGTGTGCAGGTGTGGGAATGTGAGGTGTGGGGGATGTGCAGGTGTGGGGTGGCAGGTGTGGGGTGTGCAGGTGTGGGGTGTGCAGGTGTGGGGTGTGCAGGTGTGGGGGCGATGTGGGTGCAGGTGTGGGGGTGTGCAGGGTGGGGGTGTCAGGTGTGGGGTGCAGGTGTGGGGGTGTGCAGGTGTGGGGGTGTGCAGGTGTGGGTGTGCAGTGTGGGGGGTGTGCAGGTGTGGGGTGCAGGTGTGGGGGTGTGAGGTGTGGGGGTGCAGTGTGTGGGGTGCAGGTGTGGGGTGCAGGTGTGGGGGTGTGCAGGTGTGGGGGTGTGCAGGTGTGGGGGTGCAGGTGTGGGTGCAGGTGTGGGGGTGTGCAGGTGTGGGGGTGCAGGTGTGGGGGTGTGCAGGTGTGGGGGTGCAGGTGTGGGGTGTGCAGGTGTGGGGGTGCAGGTGTGGGGGTGTGCAGGTGTGGGGTGTCAGGTGTGGGGGTGTGCAGGTGTGGGGGTGGCAGGTGTGGGGGTGTAGGTGTGGGGTGCAGGTGTGGGGGTGCAGGTGTGGGGGTGTGCAGGTGTGGGGGTGTAGGTGTGGGGGTGTGCAGGTGTGGGGTGCAGGTGTGGGGGTGTGCAGGTGTGGGGGTGCAGGTGTGGGGGTGTGCAGGTGTGGGGTGCAGGTGTGGGGGTGCAGGTGTGGGGGATGTGCAGGTGTGGGGGTGTGCAGGTGTGGGGGTGTGCAGGTGTGGGGGTGTGCAGGTGTAGAGGTGATGTACCTCACTGTGCCAGTTACAACTTACATTCTAAGGGTATCCCTAATACTGTACAAAATAAACAAACTTTATTCACACCGAAGCTATGGTACCATTGTTCACACTGAAGCTATGGTACCATTGTTCACACTGAAGCTATGGTACCATTCTTCACACTGAAGCTATGGTACCATTGTTCACACTGAAGCTATGGTACCATTGTTCACACTGAAGCTATGGTACCATTGTTCACACTGAAGCTATGGTACCATTGTTCACACCGAAGCTATGGTACCATTGTTCACACTGAAGCTATGGTACCATTGTTCACACTGAAGCTATGGTACCATTGTTCACACTGATGCTATGGTACCATTGTTCACACTGAAGGTATGGTACCATTGTTCACACTGAAGCTATGGTACCATTGTTCATACATAATATATGGTACCATTGTTCACACCGAAGCTATGGCACCATTGCTCACACAGAATGTATGGTACCATTGTTTACACCGAAGCTATGGCACCATTGCTCACACAGAAGCTATGGTACCATTGTTCACACAGAATGTATGGTACCATTGTTCACACAGAATGTATGGCACCATTGCTCACACAGAATGCATGGTACCATTGCTCACACAGAATGCATGGTACCATTGTTCACACAGAATGTATGGCACCATTGCTCACACAGAAGCTATGGCACCATTGCTCACACAGAATGTATGATGCCATTGTTCACACAGAATGTTTGGTACCATTGCTCACACAGAAGCTATGGTACCATTGTTCACACAGAATGTATGGTACCATTGTTCACACACAATGTATGGCACCATTGCTCACACAAGCTATGGCACCATTGTTCACACAGAATGTATGGTACCATTGTTCACACAGAAGCTATGGCACTATTGCTCACACAGAAGCTATGGTACCATTGTTCACACAGAATGTATGGTACCATTGTTCACACAGAATGTATGGCACCATTTCTCACACAGAAGCTATGGTACCATTGTTCACACAGAATGTATGGTACCATTGTTCACACAGAATGTGTGGCACCATTGCTCACACAGAAGCTATGGTACCATTGTTCACACAGAATGTATGGTACCATTGTTCACACAGAATGTATGGCACCATTGCTCACACAGAATGTATGGTACCATTGCTCACACAGAATGTATGGTACCATTGTTCACGCCGAAGCTATGGTACCATTGCTCACACAGAATGTATGGTACCATTGTTTACACCGAAGCTATGGCACCATTGCTCACACAGAAGCTATGGTACCATTGTTCACACAGAATGTATGGTACCATTGTTCACACAGAATGTATGGTACCAATCCTCACACAAAATGTATGGTACCATTGCTCACACAGAATTTATGGTACCATTGTTTACACCGAAGCTATGGCACCATTGCTCACACAGAATGTATGGTACCATTGTTTACACCGAAGCTATGGCACCATTGCTCAAACAGAAGCTATGGTACCATTGCTCACACAGAAGCTATGGTACCATTGCTCACACAGAAGCTATGGTACCATTGCTTCCCCGAACAGCAGAAGATGTATGGTACCATTTCTCACACAGAAGCTATGGCACCATTGCTCATACAGAAGCTATGGTACCATTGTTCGCACAGAAGCTATGGTAACATTGCTCACACGGGAACTATGGTACCATTTACATTACACATCCATCTGCTGATAACACTGAAGATAACTTCTAACGTATACATACAGGTTTATGTATAGAATATACCTTCTATGATGTATACTGTATAATGTATACAGCCTTTGCAGTATGATGTATGGGTCAGTGAATGCTTCTTAGACACTTCTTGTGTGTATGAAGTTGTCAGGTTGTGTTGTATGATGTTCCTGCGCCAAATTACTATTTATTTTTGTCTTATACACTGTGTGAACGAGACAGAAGATTATACAATCATGTAAAATAAATGAGAGAAAGACAAGTGTTGTTTTGATTATCATAGTTCATAGGTACTTTTGGGGGCTTCTACTGTGACCCTGTGACTGACAAGGTGCACCTACCCCTGATTATAGGTGAACCGTGCTGAGTAACCTACGAGTCGACATTTAGGCTGTGAAGTTGATGTAGTGAGTCAGTGAGGTGCAGAAGACAGGACGAGACTCTGTCTACACCGTGGGGAAACATCAATGAAGACAAGAGGAGACTCCTGTCAGTTTCGCTCTTGATGTCACTACCACGGAGGAGATACATTCAGAACTGATATATAAGGATTCCTGGAGGAAAAAAATAGTTCAAATTGTCATGATTTATTTAAGAAAGTCACCGACATCTGAGTAGAAAGTGTCTCAAAGTTATTGGAGAATTTTGCTACATAAGCGTGATGCACTGACTTACTTTAAGACTGACTTACTAGAAGAGAGAAGGAACACTACATTAGACATACTGGCTCTCGCTAGACAGGTGAATCATTAGATATATAAGACTCTCAATTTATGCCCCTTCCTACTGTCTCTCTCTTTACTATCTCACTGCCTGGTCACTGGCTGTTTCTCTCCGTTCACTGTCTTCTTTCACTGTCGAGTTACACCTGGCAGGTTACACTCTTACATTCACTGTCTCACTGACTAAATGTGACTACATTTCTCTGTGCCTTGAAGATTAACTGGTTCCCGTCTGTCCTTAAACACACACAGAAACAGGCGGGGCCAGGAGCTGTGAATCGACCCCTGCAACCACAACTAGGTAAGTACACACGCCTGAGTGGGAAGAACACTGAACATCAGACCTACACAACAGCACCTGACATTTGTCAAAGTTTGCCACACTCGTCCATAGAAATCTCTCTGCAGCGAGCCAAGCAACGACACATTTCTTGCTCATGACATGTGTCGGTAGTCCACTTGATACTTCCAAATTATATTTGGATATTATACAGTATGCCGAGTTACTTGTGAGAAATAACAAAAAAAAATCATTATAGAATAAACATTTCTTTATGAATTAGATTTAAATGGCGATGATGGTAGGGTACCAGGAGGTGATTCAGGTCGTGATGATGTCCATTCCTTCTGGCATGTGTTGTGCGTCGACCAGGCGGAGTCCTCTTCAGTACAGCTTTATGTTAGCGTAGACGATAATGGGAGTTTTTAAGAGTCAGGAGACCTGTGAGTAGTACTGAAGTTGAAAGGCTTAGCACCAGCCACTGGAGAACTATATGCAACGAACAGACTAAGTAGGCGACTGTCTGTTAGGACTGGACAGACTGACGTTAGTGGTAAGTGGTGTGTCGGTACAATCCATCTTCTCCAGTTTGTGAAGGATGACTGTGATGGTGAATCAAGTGCACCTCTGCATATCGAGAAGAGAATCATGGTGAGAGCTTTCCCGCAGTGCTCCTAGTCACTGATAGCATCTAGATTTCCCCTACTTGGCAGACAGCTGCTCACTGTCTGCGAGACAGAAGATTTGACAATGACTTGACAATGGTCCAGGACTGACCGAAACATCATCCTAACATTCCTCTCCCAAGTTCGGGATTTTGGTGAGAAGGAGAGGCATCCTTTTTTGCTGTTTGTTTTTTCTAAGCTCGGGAGTAGGCTGATATTCCTGTTTGTTTACATCATGCTGTGTGCATGGCTCCACCCCGCTGCCAGTCAGGTCGCTCACCTCCTGATGAACCTCGCGAACCACGTGACGTAAAGATGTACAGCGTTTCTGTAGTCATATATATATATTAGACTGAATAATAAAACAATAAAACTTCCACACTAACCTACAGTTTGCAGGTGTAAAGCGTCTAAAGAGATGGAAAGTAGTATCAAGTAAGCAGAACTTCAACTATGTGTGGCAATGGGACCTTAAAATGTGCCTATTTAATAAACATTTCTCGACGCTAGTAAAGACTATGAACCAAAAATTGTGGAATCTGAGGGATTACCAGTGCATTAGTTGCACCAAACAATAAAATATGTAATGCTCATATACATAACTCAACAAAAACTGTGTACTGTCATGTCATCTGCTGGATGCACTGCCAGACGAGTGATACACTGAATATATTCACCAAGATATGTATATCTCCCAGTATATATTTTTTGTTAGATTAATTTAGTACTTATTTAAGAGATTAGCGAATTCTTGAGTAGTTGATTTACAGGTAAAATGCAGCCTTAATGACCTCGAGCAGTAGACAGGCTTGAAACCTAACTAATGAACCCAGTAATGATATTTGGGAAAGTCTCAGAATATCGGCTGCTTCAAGTGAAAGGGGATGTGCAGAGATGGACCTGCAGCCCCCTACAGGAGGGGTCCATGAAGGAAAACAAAGCCGCAGGTAAGCAGGAGAGCAGCTTCAACCATTGAGGAGTTCTAAGAGACTGGCTCTGCTGGAGACGTCTTCACCACGCTTGCAGAAGAAGAGTTCCCGACACACACCCTTGGCGTCCCTGGTGTAGCACTCCCGACACCCTGTCACGTCCAAGATGTTCTTCTCTGTGTACAAACACAACACGAATCTTAAAGAAGTACTTCAAAAAAACATGTTAATAATCTCATTTTAAATTAATTGCAATTCTAAAGACCAATGCGGAAGAGGCTTTTATCGGGACTTTCGTTTTCGAAATGTAATCCCAATAAAAAGATTGTTCTGGATATTGTAACTTTATGTCCGAGTTAAATATCATCTGACTTGAACTGATCTGATCATGCATTGACATCACTTCACCTCCATTCATGTGACACTGAAGAATTTATCATCTATTATTGTCTGTACCCCTAACAACTCTTGAGATTACTGACTTGTCGTTCTCAAAAGAAACTGTCCATCAGACAAAGACTGCAAATGATGCAGTAACGTCTGAGTCAACAATACGTCTCTCAATGTCATTATCAGATCTATACCACAGTCATGACCTGCATGACTATGACATACATGAAAGAACACACCACTGTTTATAAGCACAGCCTTGCTTATCTTGCCCGTTCCAACATACGTCTTGTGTTCAAAAACATTCTGGCTCATATTCCTTCCCGCTTCTCCTACATATTTTTTTCTAGGCAGTAGTTACAGGCAGTTGCTTTGAAAATAGCAAAGCCGCAATGGTCCTTCAGCACAGTTCGGTAAAATAGTGCTATAAAAATAGATTAGTTAATGAGTTATTAGTAATGGATTAGTTAACGAGAATTAATAGCTAATAGATTTGTTAATGAGAGGAACATTTGTTGAGAGTCTAGTAACTATTCCAGAGATTAAACAGTGTTTTTATGAAGTCAAAATAAGCAGAAGAGACATGAGAAGCTTAACTGCTCGCAGGTGACTTAGAATTTAGTCCATCCCAAAGGATTATAACTTGTCTAGAAAGAGCTGAGAAAGTTGGGTAAAGTGGCCTCAGCAAGCTGTTCTGTATTATCCGGCATATAAGGCGCACGAACATATACGACATGACGATGATTCCAAATAGGTGCAACGTAACGTTAGTAAACAACTGCTAAAGTGTAACCCAGAGTCTACCCTTGACCCTTGACCCTTGACCCTGACCTTGAGCATATAAGGCACAGATTGATTTTCCAAGACTTTTTTGTGGGGGAAAAAAAGCACGCCTTACACGGCGGAAAATACGAGAGCTATGGATTGTTACATCCCCGATATTGTGTTTTATTCTCTCGTTATGCACTGTTCCAGCTCTGGTATTGTGTTTTATTCTCTCGTTATGAACTGTTCCAGCTCTGTATTGTGTTTTATTCTCTCGTTATGAACTGTTCCAGCTCTGGTATTGTGTTTTATTCTCTCGTTATGAACTGTTCCAGCTCTGGTATTGTGTTTTATTCTCTCGTTATGAACTGTTCCAGCTCTGGTATTGTGTTTTATTCTCTCGTTATGAACTGTTCCAGCTCTGGTATTGTGTTTTATTCTCTCGTTATGAACTGTTCCAGCTCTGGTATTGTGCTTTATTCTCTCGTTATGAACTGTTCCAGCTCTGGTATTGTATTTTATTCTCTCGTTATGAACTGTTCCAGCTCTGGTATTGTGTTTTATTCTCTCGTTATGAACTGTTCCAGCTCTGGTATTGTGTTTTATTCTCTCGTTATGAACTGTTCCAGCTCTGGTATTGTGTTTTATTCTCTCGTTATGAACTGTTCCAGCTCTGGTATTGTGTTTTATTCTCTCGTTATGAACTGTTCCAGCTCTGGTATTGTGTTTTATTCTCTCGTTATGAACTGTTCCAGCTCTGGTATTGTGTTTTATTCTCTCGTTATGAATGTTCCAGCTCTGGTATTGTGCTTTATTCTCCTCTTATGAACTGTTCCAGCTCTGGTATTGTGTTTTTCTCTCGTTAGAACTGTTCCAGCTCTGGTATTGTGTTTTATTCTCGTCGTTATGAACTGTTCCAGCTCTGGTATTGTGTTATCTCCTGTTATGAATGTTCCAGCTCTGGTATTGTGTTTATCTCCTGTTATGAACTGTTCCAGCCTGGTATTGTGTTTTATTCTCTCGTTATGAACTGTTCCAGCTCTGGTATTGTGTATTTTACTCTCGTTATGAACTGTTCCAGCCTGGTATTGTTTTTTCTCTCGTTATGAACTGTTCCAGCTCTTGTATTGTGTTTTATTCTCTCGTTATGCACTGTTCCAGCTCTGGTATTGTGTTTTATTCTCTCGTTAGCACTGTTCCAGCTCTGGTATTGTGTTTTATTCATACTCGTTGATGAACTTCCAGCTCTGGTATTGTGTTTTATTCTCTCGTTATGCACTGTTCCAGCTCTGGTATTGTGTTTTATTCTCTCGTTATGAACTGTTCCAGCTCTGGTATTCTGTTTTATTCTCTCGTTATGCACTGTTCCACTCTTTAATGTGTTTTATTTCTCGTTATGAACTGTTCCAGCTCTGGTATTGTGTTTTATTCTCTCGTTATGAACTGTTTCAGCTCTGGTATTCTGTTTTATTCTCTCGTTATGAACTGTTCCAGCTCTGGTATTGTGTTTTATTCTTACCAATCTCGAGAATCACATAGTTACTGCACACACCTCCTTGTACCAGCAGGGCCTCACCTGTGTCCTGACGGAAAAAGTTGTTCTGCAGCTCCTCGTCCGAGATGGCATCGATCAGCTGGTGGAAAGACTGAGGCAACACCAGCAGCAGCACTCCTAGCACCCTCTTGATAAACTGCAGGCGGCGCTGGTGGCGTACAAGGGGACAACCCCCTCCCTGCACTGGCTGCATCTGCAGGATATTGTTCACCATCTCCTTGTTGGCGAACTTCATGCGATCGAGATAGGCTGTGGATAGTGGAAAGGATCTTAGTGAGGTAACCTGTTCTGATGATGGGTGAGACACGTGTGCCACACACAAGGTATCCTTACTTTTGGCTTCATCAACCACGGGGATGAATTACCACCGATAGAGGACTAATGACGCTAGTGAGTCTGTCATCTGACCTCACGTGATTTGAGGAGAGCTTCAAGCATAATGACGCATAATTTAACCTAAATATTTTACTTAACCAAAGGAACCATAACAAAATATAAGAGGTCAGTGTTTCGTTAAGCTGCGAGGAGCCAAGTAAAATACCTATCCATATATAAATTCTTATATATATCTTCATGTGTTTTATATTCTTATAATACTTGCATATGTTTGTGTAGATAGGATTAAGGTGCATTGCTTAAACTACCGACTGCACTTGTTCGCTAGTTCTGCGTATCCTAGTTTGTCCCCAGGTATTCCTCGATTGTTATTGATTTGCCTTTTACTCACACACACACACGCACACACACACACGCACACACACACACACACGCACGCCACACACACACACACACACCACACACACGCACACACCACACACACACACACACACACACACACACACACACACACACACACACACACACACACACTCCTTTCCTCCTGTGTTCTGTCTCGATCGAGGTACACACTCATGAACTCTGTTTGCCTCTCAGCGGTGCTTTCTCCTGCAGAATCATTGTTCGGGTTGATTCAAGGCAGAATCAACCCGAACCATGATCCTGCAGGAGAAAGCACGGCTGAGAGGCAAACAGGAGTTCATGAGTGTGTACCTCGATCGAGACAGAACACAGGAGGAAAGGATGATACTGAAAGAGAGAGTGCAAAAACGAAAGGAGGAATGGGAGGAAATGAAAAAGGAGAGCAGAATAACCCAGGAACAGGTGGAATGACAAGCACACCCCCCAGAAACATCTGCAGAAGGACTCCAGCCACGACACCCCCAAGGCAACTGAACAATCCAAACCAACCATCACACACCGATCCCTCTGTTCCCACCCCCCGCACCACAAACCCTACCTCTACAGCAACCCCCTATGGGAGCTCTTCCTCCACCTCCACTGCAACCCCCCACAGGCCCCCACCAGGGCTCCTGCTCTCCCAACCCCAGTATTCCCCCAGGACCACAGTTACAGTATTAGAACAGAAGTTGAAGGTTTGGTACACAAATGCGGATGGATTAACGAATAAATATGAGGAATGGCAAGAAAGAATCAATGAGAAGTCCCTAGACATCATAGCAGTTACAGAAACAAAACTCATGGAGACAATTACAGATGCAATCTTCCCACCAGGGTACCAGATCATGAGGAAAGACACAAGGGGCAGAGGGGAAGGAGGGGTTGCTCAGCTCGTAAAAAAACGATGGAAATTCGAGAAAATGGGAGGCATAAACGAGACAGGAGAAAGGGACTACATAGTAGGTACACTTCAGTCTGGGGAGCACAAGGTGGTCATTGCAGTGATGTATAATCCACCACAGAATTGCAGGAGGCCAAGAGAGGAATATGAAGAGAGCAACAGAGCAATGGTGGACACACTTGCTGAGGCGGCAAGAAGAGCTCACTCCAGCAGAGCAAAGTTGCTGGTTATGGGTGATTTCAACCACAGGGAGATTGACTGGGAAAACCTGGAGCCACATGGGGGTCCCAAAACATGGAGAGCCAAGATGTTGGATGTGGTGCTGGAAAACCTCATGCACCAACATGTTAAGGACACTACCAGAGTGAGAGGGGAGGATGAACCAGCAAGATTGGACCTTGTGTTCACCCTGGGCAGTTCAGACATTGAGGACATCACATATGAGAGTCCCCTAGGAGCTAGTGACCACGTGGTTCTGTGCTTTGAATACATAGTAGAATTGCAAGTGGAGAGAGTAACAAGAGTTGAATGGGAAAAGCCTGACTATAAAAGAGGGGACTACATAGGGCTGAGGAACTTCCTGCAGGAGGTTCCGTGGGACATAGAACTGGCAGGAAAGCCAGTAAATGAAATGATGGAATATGTAACAACAAAATGCAAGGAGGCAGTGGAAAGGTTTATTCCCAAGGGCAACAGAAACAATGGGAAGATCAGAACGAGCCCCTGGTTTACCCGACGGTGTAAGGAGGCAAAAGCAAAGTGCAATAGAGAATGGAAAAAGTACAGAAGACAGCGAACACATGAAAATAGGGAAATCAGTCGCAGAGCCAGGAACAAGTATGCACAGGTAAGGAGGGAGGCCCAGCGACAGTATGAGAATAACATAGCATCGAAAATCAAGACTGACCCGAAACTGTTGTATAGCCACATCAGGAGGAAGACAACAGTCAAAGACCAGGTGATCAGACTGAGGACAGAAGGTGGAGAACTCACAAGAAATGATCAGGAGGTATGTGAGGAGCTAAACAGGAGATTTAAGGAAGTTTTTACAGTAGAGACAGGAAGGGCTGTGGGAAGACAGCACAGAAGGGAACATCAAGAGGGAATATACCAACAAGTGTTGGATGACATACGAACAACCGAGGAGGAGGTACAGAAGCTGCTAAGTGACCTTGATACCTCAAAGGCGATGGGACCGGACAACATCTCCCCATAGGTCCTTAGAGAAGGAGCAGAGATGCTGTGCGTGCCATTAACCACAATCTTCAACACATCCCTTGAAACTGGGCAACTACCTGAGAAATGGAAGACAGCAAATGTTGTCCCCATATTTAAGAAAGGAAACAGAAATGAGGCACTAAACTACAGACCTGTGTCTCTGACATGTATAGTATGCAAAGTCATGGAGAAGATTATCAGGAGGAGAGTGGTGGAACACCTGGAATGGAACAAGATTATAAATGAAAACCAGCATGGGTTCATGGAAGGCAAATCCTATGTCACAAACCTTCTGGAGTTTTATGACAAGGTAACAGAAGTAAGACACAAGAGAGAGGGGTGGGTTAATTGCTTTTTCCTAGACTGCAGGAAGGCCTTTGACACAGTTCTCCACAAGAGATTAGTGTAGAAGCTGGAGGATCAGGCGCATATAACAGGGAGGGCACTGCAATGGATCAGGGAGTACCTGACAGGGAGGCAACAACGAGTCATGGTACGTGAAGAGGTATCACAGTGGGCGCCTGTGACGAGCGGGGTCGTCACAGGTCGTCCCTATTCGCAGATGATGTGAAGCTGATGAGAAGAATTAAATCGGATGAGGATGAGGCAGGACTGCAAAGAGACCTGGACAGTCTGGACATGTGGTCCAGAAACTGGCTTCTCGAATTCAACCCTGCCAAATGCAAAGTCATGAAGATTGGGGAGGGGCAAAGAAGATCGCAGACAGAGTATAGCCTAGGTGGACAAAGACTACAGACCTTACTCAGGGAGAAAGACCTTGGGGTGACCATAACACCGAGCACATCACCGGAGGCACACATCAACCAAATAACCGCTGCAGCATACGGCGCCTGGCAAACTGAGAATAGCGTTCCGATACCAATAATCAGAATCGTCAAGACACTGTACACTGTGTATGTTAGGCCCCTTACTGGAGTGCAGCACCAGTCTGGACACCAGTCAACCAGTCAAGAAGTTAGAGAAAGTACAAAGGTTGCAACAAGGCTAGTCCAGAGCTCAGGGAATGTCGTACGAGGAAAGGTTAAGGGAAAGGGACGACACTGGAGGACAGAGGTCAGGGGAGACATGATAACGACATACAGAAGATATGCGCGGGAATGACAAGGTGGACAGAGGTAGGATGTTCAAGAGTGAGGAACAGGACAAGGTTGCAACAAGGAAGCTGAAGACTCAGCGAGTCACAGGGATTGGAAGATTTCTTCAGTCATAGAGTTGTCAGCAAGTGGGAATGCCAAAGCAAGTGAAGTAGTGGAGGCAGGAAACCAAGTAGTTTAAGAAGGAGTATGCAAAAGCTCAGGAAGCAGAGAGAGAGAGGATCCAGTAGCGATCAGTGAAGAGGCGGGGCCAGGAGCTGAGTCTCGACCCCTGCAACCACAATTAGGTGAGTACAATTAGCAGTGAATACCACACACACACACTACAAACCACATATAACAAGTATACAATGTTGAACGGTGCGAAGACGCCTGTCTGATACTCAGGTCTCTCTCTCTAGTTACAGCCTGAGCCGGGTCTGTCGTGTGTCTGGTGGTTGCAGCACCTGTCTCTGTGTTCTGTCATATACTACTGTGTTTTCCAGGCTCTTGGTGTCTTACTCGAGGTTCTTTGGTCTTCCTGGTTTATTCGATGTCTTAAACGTGACTTAATTGATTTAAGACTGTCTACTTACATTGATTAAGCATCTTCATTATGTCCTGGTCCATGACACTAGGTAGCCAGGTCTCCAATATTACCGTCAGGTCACTGTCCAACTCAGCCAGGGTGGTCATGGGCGTGTCCCGCTGTATACTCTTGGGTGTGGGCGGCAGTGTGGGCGTACTGGAGGCTGGTGGTGGCCTGGAGAGTTTGGGTGTGGGAGGGGGCGTTGATGTGGGAGATGGGGGTAGGAAGGGTGCCGAAAGTGCAAGGAGTGGTGGTGATGGTGGTGATGGTGATGATGATGGTGGTGATTTGATTGTGGGAGACGCTAGTGACTTGGTGTTGTTGTGCTGTCTGTGTCTGTTGTAGTGTCTGTAAAGGTGTCTAAGGTGGTGTCTGTGGTAGTGTTATGAGGTGTGCTGAGGTGGTGTCTGTGGTATTGTCTGTGAGGGTGTCTGAGGTGGTGTCTGTGAGTGTCTAGTGTCTGAGTGTGTCTTGGTAGTGTCTAGAGGTGGTGTGTCTGTGGTAGTGTCTATGAGGGTGCCTGAGGTGGTGTCTGTGGTAGTGTCTATGAGGGTGTCTGAGGTGGTGTCTGTGGTAGTGTCTTTGTGAGTGTTTGTGTCTGTATCTGTGGTTGTGTCTGTGCTTGTATTGGTGTTGTGTCTGGGGGGTGTGGTTTGTGTCATGGGGAGTGGTGTTGTGTCAGTGACTATAGGTGGGGGTGGTGGATGGTTGTCTGTGGTTTGTGGTTGTGGTGGTGTTTGGTTGTGGAATGTGTGGATCATGGTGGTACTTCTGATGGAGTTCTCATTGCGGTGACTTAACAGGGCTTTAACAAGGGTCTGCAGGTGATACGTGGGTGTTAAGATGAGTGTGAGAGGTGTGGTGGGTCTAGCTTGGGTGGAGAAGGAGGAGAGAAGGGTGTGGGATTTCGTGGGGTAGGATGAGGATGAGAGGGGTTCGGTGTTTAGTTAAGGAGGAGAGAGGGGTTTGGGTTTAACTTGGGGAGGAGGAGGAAGAGGGGTTTAGTGATTGTTGGAGGAAGGAGAGGGGTTTGGGTTAGCTTGGGAGGAGGAGGAGGGGGTTTGGGCCAGTTGGAGGAGGGGGAGAGGGGTTTAATTGTAGATAGGGAGGAGGAGAGGGGTTTGGGTCTAGCTTGGGAGGAGGGAGGAGAGGGGTTTAATGTGTAGGTAGGGAGGAGGAGAGGGGTTTGGGTCCAGCTTGGAAGAGGGGAGGAGAGGAGGAGGAGAGGGGTTTAATGTGTAGTTAGGGAGGAGGAGAGGGGTTTGGGTCTAGCTTGGGAGGAGGAGGAGAGGGGTTTAAGTGTAGGTAGGGAGGAGGAGAGGGTTTGGGTCCAGCTTGGGAGGAGGGGGAGAGGGGTTTAATTGTAGATAGGGAGGAGGAGAGGGGTTTGGGTCTTGTTGGGAGGAGGGGAGGAGAGGGGTTATTGTAGTAGGGAGGAGGAAGGGTTTGGTCTGCTTGGGAGGAGGAGGAGAGAGGGGTTTAAGTGAGGTAGGAGGAGGAGAGGGGTTTGGGTCCAGCTTGGGGAGGAGGGGGAGAGGGTTTAATTGTAGATAGGGAGGAGGAGAGGGGTTTGGGTCTAGCTTGGGAGGAGGAGGAGGAGGAGAGGGGTTTAAGTGTAGGTAGGGAGGAGGAGAGGGGTTTGGGTCCAGCTTGGAAGGAGGAGGAGGAGGAGAGGGGTTTAAGTGTAGGTAGAGAGGAGGAGAGGGGTTTAAGTGTAGGTAGGGAGGAGGAGAGGGGTTTGGGTCTAGCTCGGGAGGAGGAAGAAAGGGGTTTCGGTGTAGTTAGGGAGAAAGAGAGAGGTTTGGGTCTAGCTTGAGAGGAGGAAAGTAGTTTGGGTCCAGCTAGAGAGGGTAAGAGGGGTTTGGATGTAGCTAGGGAGAGGGGTTTGGGTGTAGCTAGGGAGGGGGATTTGGGTGTAGCTAGGGAAGGGGGTTTGGGTGTAGCTAGGGGGAGGGGTTTGAGTGTAGCTAGCGAGGAGAGGGATTTGGGTGTAGCTATGGAAGAGGAGAGGGGTTTGGGTGCCTTAGGAGAAGGGACACGGGAGGAAAGTCTTGGCACTGACTCTACCAATACTCTGCACTGTCTCATGTCTATCATTCTCTCCATCTCTGAAAGAGGAAAATAAAAAAAAAACAATATTTTTTAATTTAATTCATCATCATCATCATCATCATCATCATCATCATCATCATCATCATCTTTTCCTTTTGCTCTGATCAATAAAACTATTTTGAGTTGACAGGTAGAGAGTTTCAGGTGAGACGACAGACTGACACCTCTCAACAAAATCTTCAGTGACTTTAATAAATACACATAAATTGAATGTACGAGAATAAAATAAAAAAGGTTATGAATATTTTCACAACAGCAGAGATCATTATCGTCCCTTTCTGAAGCTTCGTTTAGTAGTTTGTTCCTTTGTAGGTCTGTTGTTGCATGCCAAAACTGTCCTTGACTCGGTCAACTCCTGCATTCCATGAAGGATCCCAACGGAAATAAGTCACTTTGGCTGATTTTATTTTGGGCAATTATATTGGTGGGTGATTTACACTTCTTTTACTTTATGTATGATAATATGTGTAATTGTATCAATGTGTACCTGTACCTAAATAAACTTACTTAACTCCTTTAACGGTATTTAATGTATTCAAGCCTGGCCACCTACTGTATAATGGAATGTGTCTGAAGCCTGGCCACCTACTGTATAATGGAATGTGTCTGAAGCCTGACCACCTACTGTATAATGGAATGTGTCTGAAGCCTGACCACCTACTGTATAATGGAATGTGTCTGAAGCCTGGCCACCTACTGCGAGTTCTAGAAAATTGTACCCACTCTCCCCACATACATGGCAGGTTAGGCTTCCGCTTTACGTCGATTTCCGATGTAAAGCGGAAATCGACGTAAAGCGAATCACACTTTTTCATTTATATATGCTTCATAACATGTTTACATTATCAATATTAAGTTAGCAATATAACTAGGCATTAAAAAAAAGTAAAATACACATACAGTACACTCATTACTTACCTTAAATTGTTTGTAGTCTTAATGTAGGGTGAGAGTTGTATTTATTGTAGGAAGTCAGGTGTGGTAGCTCGCCAAATATACGTCAAATATACGACTTAATTTAAAGCGCTCCAGATCGATTATTATTTATTATTATTACCATTGACATACCTTGTTCAGTGAGTTTGATCATTTCTAATAAATACCCTTAGATGCCATCGTAAACGAGAGATAATGAGTAAACGAGAGGGACACTGAGAATACAGACGAGCAGGAGAACGCATATTAATACCTGTTCACTTACAGTTCATACACGTTCATTTCGCATACGTTTGTGAAGCTTTTACCACAATACAAGCACCTTACATTATGTACAAGTTGTCTTCATCTTGGTGCAGTAGAATAAATAACAGCAATACCCCCGTTCTCACGCAACACCATTTTTAGAGGGAATGAAACTATAAGTGAAGGCATACGAAAGGAATAATTTTCTACAGTTACCCCCAGTAATACTTTTGCGTATGCTCATTATTATTATTAATGAAATTAAGACACATGTGCAACATCTGGGTGTCTTTATTGTAGACGTTTCGCCATCCAATGGCTTTATCAATACAGATTCTAGGACATAACTTGAAGACAGTAGAACTATGTACAGAAGATGAGGTAATCAGTCCCTCAACCTAGGAGTAGGTGCGAAGAACACCGTAGTCGTGGAGATTCTGAAGCAGAAGAAAGGAGCCTGGCGTGTGTGATTTGTAGCCTTGAGAAAAGCTACGGAGATGTTCTGGACACTGAACAATAAGTATGTGTACTACAACTGCGTTACTCTGTCACATTAATATTTTTCACCTCGTAATTCATCCTGGCTTGTTTGTGTTTAAGCGAACAACTATGAAAAATAAGAAGCAGTTACGCATAGCCATTACCCAGTGTTGGGTTTGGTAAGTACCTGGATGGGTGACCGCCTGCTGACTCCAAATACTGTTGCCATCAACCTTTTTCAAGGACCCCATTGGAAATAAGTCACATTGTCTGATTTTTTTTGGGTCATCCTAGGTACCCTACACACTTGCTACTATGTATAATTTATGTAACTGTATATATACCCGTACCCAGGCCCGGTGGCCTGGTGGCTAAAGCTCCCGCTTCACACACGGAGGGCCCGGGTTCGATTCCCGGCGGGTGGAAACATTTCGACACGTTTCCTTACACCTGTTGTCCTGTTCACCTAGCAGCAAATAGGTACCTGGGTGTTAGTCGACTGGTGTGGGTCGCATCCTGGGGGACAAGATTGAGGACCACAATGGAAATAAGTTAGACAGTCCTCGATGACGCACTGACTTTCTTGGGTTATCCTGGGTGGCTAACCCTCCGGGGTTAAAAATCCGAACGAAATCTTATCTTATCTTACTTAAACCGACAGGTACAAAATAGTTTGCCAAATATCCAAAGATCCACAGAAAACCATGTTTATTTTCATGATTAACTAAACTATTTCTGAGTTGCTGCAGATTAAGATTCAAATTTAGGTATTTCATCTCATTATGATACAGTGTTTGTACAGATGTGAATGACGTTTAAGTGATAGGTAAGTAAGTTTCTTTACATGAGTATAATTATCATACATAGCATAAATTACTTAGGATAATCCAAAAAGTCAGACAAAGTGACTTATTTCCACTGTATCAAGTTACAGCAGTCCGAGCAAGTGTTTACAATATTATTTCTAAAATATTTAGTTAGAGATGGAGAATTTATTCGGAGAGTTGGTAGCATCCTCAGGTCACACACTGAGGGGTCCGGGATCGATCCCCGGTACAGGTAAAAATGTTGGGCATGTTTCCTTATACCTGCTGCCCTTGTTTACCTAACGGTAAGTAGGTACCTGGGTGTTAGTTGACTGTTGTGGGTCGCATCCTGGGGGACATGATTAACCTGTTACCCAAAATGCTCTACATAATCAGGGACTTTTTGTATAGTATGCCAATTATGTAACAGTTGTGTCATGTACCTGTGGAAATAAAGATTATTATTATTATTATTATTATTATTATTATTATTATTATTATTATTATTATTATTATTATTTTTGTTAACCCAAGACAGTCAGTGCTTCATCGTTTGTCTTATTTCCATTGTGGTCCTTTAATCTTGTCCCCAGGATGCGACCCACAACAGTCAACTAACACCCAGGTACCTACTTACTGCTAGGTGAACCTGGACAGCAGGTGTAAGGAAACATGCTGAACGTTTCACCCGCACCAGGAATCTATCCCAGTGCCTCAGTAAGTGAACTGAGGGACCGGGATGGATTCCCGGTCCCTCAGCTTAACCAAGCCACTAGCACCTTAAATGTAGGCCGGGCCAGGCTAAGCTTATTAAACTATAATAATTATTTATCAATGATTCCAGGTCGCTAATTAGACTCAGTAAAAAACCACACTATTTTAACTGACTTTCTAGAGTTTGTGAAAACAAGGATCCCTTGATCTTTGTAGAGGAGAGGTCAGGTAACAAGCAGAGACGAGCCTCAACCTCAGAGAGAAGGAAAGACGAGGCTTACCCATCGAGCTGGCTGGCTGTTGATGGTCTTGTGAGACTAGTTTCCAAGGGTATACCTGGAGGGTGAAGCCACTTCTGAAACCAGTGGTGGAGGAGTTGATGGAGACTAATACGGAAGGTGTAGTGAATCACTTAACCGTAAACGCCCTTTACCAGTGTAATTTTCTATTCCCTCAATTTCCATACTTAGGTAATACATCACTGCTCTCACATAGTTTGCATTTTATCTTTGCCACTTAAACTTTGGGGCCCAGTCCCTGGACCCCAATGGAAATAAGTCACTCTGTCTGACTGTTTTTGGTTATCCCAGGTTCTCTACACATATGCTGCTATGTATGATAATTCTATATAACTGTATTTGTGTATACCTGAATAAACTTACTTACTTACCTCTGTAATCTTTTTGCCTACCTCCCACAGGATGGATCTGGGCTGCATAATAAACATATTAAACCAACTAACACTTGTTGAGAAATTTTGCAATTCAGGTGTTGAAAAATGCCAGGGAAAATTTACTCTTTCGGGAGTAAATTTCTCTCTGGTTAAAACCGAACAAACTTACCGATAAAAAAAAAAAAAACGTTTGTCTAATCATATTTTATACTGACTCACTGTAATTTATTAGCTTATTCTCACCGGGTAGGTGGGTAGTCGGTGCCTGGGGCACCAGCATGATGCCCTGTGTCAGGTGAATGCAGGTAATCGCCAGCAGCAGCATCACCAGCATCAGCAGGTGCTCTGTCACCTGAGTGATGAACCCTGCCTGTCTGTCCATTACCACCTGGAGAAAAACACGTGAAACATAGTTAAGGACATCATACTCAAGGACATCATAGTCAAGGATATCATACTCAAGGACATCATAGTCAAGGACATCATAGTCAAGGACATCATAGTCAAGAATATCATAATCAAGGACATCATAGTCAAGGACATCATAGTCAAGGACATCATAGTCAAGGACATCATCGTCAAGGACATCTTAGCCAGGTCAACATTATCATTAATTTCACTGACAATTCTATATACTAATGCACTCAGTAACTCCAATGGCATCCCACATCCTTTGATATATCTTCTTATGCATTAGGCCTACAGGTACTCTAGGCCTACTACGACTGGAAAATGCTCTACAATTACCACTAATAATAATGAAGTGTATCGTAGGTTTGAAATATGTCTAAATAAACCCACATTGGGGAGGAACACGAAGTGGAAATAATAGCTTTAACAAAGACAACTTGCAGGAGATCCTTTAAGTTGGAACATTTTTCCCCGTTTCACGAAGCGTTGTCTCAACAAGAGCTTGAGCAACCAGAGTCGTTTCCTCATTATTGTCTACAGTACATGCATGTTGGCCAGTATGTACAATATTCATTTTCTCTTGTTTATGTTTCTCCCTGTGTGTTCCTTCCTGCCAATGATGGCCATTATACGTGTGGGTTGCGACGTACCTGTAGTTTCTGTTCGCTCAGATGCTTTTATTTCCCTTTTTTTTTTATTTTCTCAAGACGCTAGTTGTTTAGCGCCTGCAGCAGCCCGGTAGGTAGTCAGGTGGTGTGTGGCAAACACATCTTGGCTGTATAGTGACATTGACACAGCGTCTATGGTGACTGTAACCAGGAAGCTTAGGGACTTGATGTACTCACGCCAGTAGCACCACAGCAATACTGGCTCCACAGCAACACTGGCTCCACAGCAACACTGGCTCCACAGCAACACTGGCTCCACAGCAACACTGGCTCCACAGCAATACTTGGCACCACAGCAACACTGGTTCCACAGCAACACTGGTTCTACAGCAACAGTGGCTCCACAGCAATACCTTGGCACTAGAAACACCTTGACAACACAGCTCCTCCTTAACTCCAAAGCAACACTAGCCTCCACAATGACACTTCCGCACTTCAGTAACACCCTGATACCAAGGCAATATTCTGTCACCGCGGCAACACTTGGCACCACAGAAACACCTTCGTAGCGCAAGAGAAACTTGGGTAGTAGACTGACACCTTGGCACCACAGCGACACACTTCTGGAAGTCAGCTGGGTCTGACGCAACACTCTTAGCTATGAATGAATTCTCTCACACGTAAACAAGGTGCCTTTCTTAGCATGCGGGAGATGCCAGCAAGTTCCTTCCACTCACTCACAAACTAAACTTAATCACGTGGACCAAACAAGCCAAACAATATACCATCTTGAGACTTTTTGTATCATTTATTTAATAAATTACACAAGGGATGCACGGGGTTAGGTGAACAGATACAAGTCCGGGCTGAGCAATGTTTAATGAGAAACCACATGTACGCGATGCGTGTCAAGAAATTACCAAAAAGCTTCGCATCTTTGCTATTAACGTAAGAGCTTAACAGCTTAAATTACAATAAGCTTAAAGCCTGTTTGTGTGTACCTTTAGCCTCGTGTTTTATAATTACTTAAAGGTTAAGTCTAAGAGTAGGTCTATGTAAAAAAAAAAAAAAAAATGCGACACGACTTGGATCATTATTAAGACAAACACCAGAGATGAGTTAACAAACTCATCCCGGAAATATTTGTCGTTATTCCATAGTTATGTTTAATTGTATGTATATATATAAATTCATATATATATATATATAATATATATTATATAATATATATATTAATATATAGACTCCCCGGGACACAGGTGTATTTGTGGCAGTGAATCGGCAGTCCGATTCGGATACCATGGTCTTGTGTGCCGCAAATGTTAGGAGAAGTATTGCAAGGCATGAAGTGGTTAACAGAATCACCAAGGGAAACTTCACAACAGCCGGATGCCCAGCAATAAGGGAGCCACCTTAACTATGTAGATCTGATGATAACCAGAAGTGTTCAGATGGTATCACCCTTCTAGCCTGGACAGACGGCAAGCAGGTGGTGTGGGACTACATATATACATCCACATTAGATCTACATAAGAGAGTCATCCATTGAGGACACGGCAAATCTCCATGAAGACATAAACCAAGTTTTTCAATGAGCAACAGAGAACAATATGATGTTTAATGAAGACAAATTACAACTACTCCGTTATTGGAAACTGGAGGAAATAATAACTAGAAGTGAGTATACCTGGAGTTTACCTGGAGAGAGTTCCGGGGGTCAACGCCCCCGCGGCCCGGTCTGAGACCAGGCCTCCTGGTGGATCAGAGCCTGATCAACCAGGCTGTTGCTGCTGGCTGCACGCAAACCAACATACGAGCCACAGCCCGGCTGATCCGGAACTGACTTTAGGTGCTTGTCCAGTGCCAGCTTGAAGACTGCCAGGGGTCTGTTGGTAATCCCCCTTATGTGTGCTGGGAGGCAGTTGAACAGTCTCGGGCCCCTGACACTTATTGTATGGTCTCTTAACGTGCTAGTGACACCCCTGCTTTTCATTGGGGGGATGGTGCATCGTCTGCCAAGTCTTTTGCTTTCGTAGTGGGTGATTTTCGTGTGCAAGTTCGGTACTAGTCCCTCTAGGATTTTCCAGGTGTATATAATCATGTATCTCTCCCTCCTGCGTTCCAGGGAATACAGGTTTAGGAACCTCAAGCGCTCCCAATAATTGAGGTGTTTTATCTCCGTTATGCGCGCCGTGAAAGTTCTCTGTACATTTTCTAGGTCGGCAATTTCACCTGCCTTGAAAGGTGCTGTTAGTGTGCAGTAATATTCCAGCCTAGATAGAACAAGTGACCTGAAGAGTGTCATCATGGGCTTGGCCTCCCTAGTTTTGGCCTCCCTAGTTTTGTGAAAGACCTGGGAGTGGTAATGTCTGAGGATCTCACATTCAAGGATCACAACAATGCCACTATCACATCTGTGAGGAAATTGATAGAATGGATAATGAGAACATTCAAGACAAGAGATGCTAAGCAATGATGATCCTTTTTAAAGAGCTTGTTCTCTCTAGGCTGGAATGCTGCTATACACTGACATCTCCATTCAAGGCAGGTGAAATTGCAGATCTAGAGAATATACAGAGAACCTTAATTGCATATATAAGTTCCATCAAACACCTTGACTACTGAGAACACTTGGAAGCGCTTGACTTGTACTCACTGGAGCGCAGGCGAGAGAGATGCATCATAATCTACGCTTGGAAGATTCTGGAGGGACTGGTTCCTAATCTGCACACAGAAATCACTCCCTACGAAAGCAAAAGACTTGGTAGGCCATGCAACATACCTCTATTGAAAAGTAGGAGTGTCATTAGTACACTAATAGAAAACACAATAAGTGTCAGGGGGCCAAGACTGTTCAACATCCTCTCACCAGCCATAAGGGGAATTACCAATAGACCCCTGGTTGTCTTCAAGAGGGAGCTGGACAGATACCTAAAGTCAGTACCGGATCAGCCGGGCTGTGATTCTTACGGTGGACTACGTGCGGCCAGCAGTAACATCCTTGTTCATCAGGCCCTGGTCCAACGGGAGGTCTGGTCATGGACCCAACCGCGGGGGCGTTGATCCCTGAATACCCTCCAAGTAGACTCCAGGTAGATACCTTTCTCCAATACACCAGGGAGGAAGGAGGGGCAGCCGCCAGCTCCAGGAAGTCCCAAAAGACTAGAAAATCCACTGAACATGCCCATCATTATATATTCGTTCCCATAGGCTCAGAGACCCTTGACTCATGGGCAGAGAGTGCATCTAAGCTCCTTAAGAAGCTAGGCAAATGACTCATCAGGGTAACTAGGGATACCAAGGTGGCTAGTTTTCTGTTTCAGGGACTCAGCGTTGTGGTTCAGAGGGGTAATGCCTTCTGCATCCTGGACACGCTCCCCAGCTCTGAGGAGCTGAATGAGATTTTTGCATTTTAATCTGCGACAAAAACTTATACCTGTATATGCCAGCAATATATCCTTTTAAGTCTTGTGTATTATGTTACGTAATAAAATATACCTATTAATAAAAAATTATTAAAAGAACGGGTGGTAGGGGAAGTGGAATACTCAAATGGCTTCAGGAAGAAATACAAATATTTTTCCTTGAAGCCTTTTAATTCACTTTTCTGAGACAATGGCTCCCAAAATTTAAACTAGAGGTGGACCCCATCCTCACTTAACGTCGTTTCGTTCAACATCGTTTCTTTATAATCTTGATAAGGAATGAAAATTCCCGGCCACGAATAGAAAATATGGACAGACTAGCATCGACCTGACTCTCCTTCTTCACTAATGACCGTACAAATGAAAGTTTTAAGTTTATTTGAAGATCTAAAGAAAAAAAACAGCGTTCTGGTACACAAAGTGAAACCTTCGTGGTAAATCTTGTTTGGTTTAAACGTTTTAAAAAAGTTTAAAACTGTATAATATATAAATAAGAGGAGAGTCTGTAAGTGCTGACGCAGAACCTGTCAAGTTCCTCCCTTATGGCTCTTTGTATTCTTTATTTATGACATGTATCTTGTTTCTTATACACTTCTGAAAGTCATGTGCCCCTCAAGGGAGGTTCCTTGATGCTGGTGAGGGGCTCTTGATCTAGGGAATTGGATCTGTGCTCCAGTTCTATGAATTGAGCCTGAATACCTTCCACTCCCCCCACATGCGCTGTATAACCCTACGGGATTAGCGCTTCCCTGTGATTATAATAATAATAATAATAATAATGAAAGTCTTGTGATACCTAAAATAATATAAATGTCAATAATATATATATATATATATATATATATATATATATATATATATATATATATATATATATATATATATATATATATATATATATATATATATATGCAATAAGATCACAGTAAACAGGTGATTTCAAAATATGCAAAACAACCACTCTGAAAGAATAGAGAAATTCCAAGCGCTTTCGTGACTACTCACATTATCAAGGAACTATGATAGTTCCTTGATAATGTGAGTAGTCACGAAAGCGCTTGGAATTTCTCTATTCTTTCAGAGTGGTTGTTTTGCATATATATATATATATATATATATATATATATATATATATATATATATATATATATATATATATATATTATATATATATATATATATTATATATACTATATATATACACTATACAGAGTTAAATCGGAGGCTGCCATAGTGAAGAGCTCTGTTCCACAAGGCACAGTACTCGCCCCCATCTTATTCCTTATCCTCATATCAGACATAAACAGAGATATACACCACAGCACCGTATCATCCTTTGCGGATGATACTAGGATCTGCATGAGGCTGTCATCTGCTGAGGACGCGGTTAACCTCCAAGAAGATATAAACAAAGTTTTCCAGTGGGCAACGGTAAACAATATGATGTTCAATGAGGACAAATTCCAATACATCCGTTATGGAAAACTGGAGGAGATAATAACTAGAACAGAGTATACTACAGACTCTGGTCATACAATAGAGCGGAAAAATAATGTAAGGGACCTGGGAGTAGTAATGTCTGAGGATCTCACTTTCAAGGATCACAACAGTGCCACGATCGCACGTGCAAAGAAAATGATAGGATGGATAATGAGAACTTTCAAAACGAGAGATGCCAAGCCCATGATGATCCTTTTCAAATCACTTGTTCTCTCTAGGCTGGAATACTGCTGTACATTAACATCTCCATACAAAGCAGGTGAAATCGCAGATCTAGAGAGTGTACAGAGATCCTTTACTGCACGTATAAGTTCTGTCAAGCACCTTAACTACTGGGAACGCTTGGAAGCACTTCACTTGCACTCGTTGGAACGCAGGAGGGAGAGATATATCATAATCTACACTTGGAAAATCTTGGAAGGAATGGTCCCAAATCTGCACACAGAAATCACTCCCTACGAAAGTAAAAGACTGGGCAGGCGATGCAAAATGCCGCCAATAAAAAGTAGGGCGCCATTGGTACACTAAGAGAAAACACTATAAGTGTCCGGGGCCCAAAAACTGTTCAACAGCCTCCCATCAAGCATTAGGGGAATTGCCAATAAACCCCTGGCTGCCTTCAAGAGAGAGCTGGACAGATACCTAAAGTCAGTGCCGGATCAGCCGGGCTGTGGCTCGTACGTCGGACTGCGTGCGGCCAGCA